TAGCACCTGTGCTGTCCCCAGCAATACAAAAAGCGGCCCTGGCAAGCAGCTCAGGGCTACTTGCTCTCAGGAGTGCCTGGGGCCCAGCCAATTGATACCTGGGGATACTACCCCTTGTGCCAGCTGGACTGCTGCAGCGGCATCCCAAATCCATTTTTAAAAATACCCCAAAGTCTATGTTCTTCCACAATTAAAACAAAAAATCACTACACACACACACACACACACACCCCCAGAGAGAGAGGGGGGATCCATTAGTTGGGCAATGCTTTATTGGTATATGTACAAAGATAAAGCATTTTGGAAGCCTACCAGTTTCTCTAGCATCATGCTAAAATAAATTCTAAATAACTATATGTATAGATGTGTACTTTTGGTTTTCTTCACACATGATGGGTGTGTGATGGGGGGATGTGGGTGTGCGGGACCTTGTGTGGGTGCAGCCCCTGCCCCACAGCACATGGCATGCCCCCCTCTGCAGGGCCCCAGCTCCCCCCTGGAGGGCCACAGCCCAACCCCCAGGGTCCCAGGCACCCTGGAGGATGACAGACCCCTCTCCCCCCTGCTCCAGGGTCCCAGGCACTGTGGAGGGCCACAGTCCCCAGGGCCCATAACTTACTTCTGCCGCAGCAGCGGGAGTGGAGCACTCTGAGCCTGCTGCTGCCAGCTTCCAGATCTCGGGGATCGCATACCAAGCCCAGCCGGGTTCTGCCGGCCCTGGGGCCCCTCTGCCGTCTGATTGAGCTGGTCTTGTGGCGGCGCGCTGCAGGACAGGCCTGGCCAGGCAGCACGAGCAGCCCCAGGGCCAGCAGGACCCATCTGGGCCCGGCACGTGGGCCCCGCACGGTGCACGGGGTCCCACCTCTGCCCTACTGTGCCTGCAGGGAGGTGGCCCACAGTGGGACCTGGCCTAGCCCCATGTGGCTCACTAGTCCAGCTTTGCAGTGGAATGGGTCACACAGCTCCAGGAGGCATGGCTATTGCACATACCTCCCAGAGTCATGCGACCTGCTTCAGTGCAAAGCCGGACTAGCAAGCTGCACTGGTCTAGGCCAGGCCCTCACCCCGCACAGCCCCGTCACTCCCCAAACCCCACCACATCCATCTGCCATCCCTCACACCCTCCTACCCCCATTCCCTCACTTACCATGGGCAGTGCTGGGAGCCAGGGGCAGCAGGAGCACCAAAGAGACACTCTGGCTGAAACCAAAGCGTCTCTTGTGGAGGACTGACTCCCTGCTGGCTCCAGGTACGGTCTGGAACCGTGCCTTGCTCCACTGTTCTACGGAGTCTTTTTTTTGGGGGGGGGGCACATTTTTTTTGTTCCCACATGTCTCTTACCCTGTCTCAAAGGGGTTTGAGATGGGGCAAAAGGCACAAGCGCATTCATCTGGACATATCAACAGAGGGTATAGATTAATGGTACTCAATCTTTTTGGGATCAAGGCACCCCTCATTGGATTTGAGGCACCTGAACGTAAATTATGTGAATTGAGTGGCACCTAGTTCCAAAAACTTATTTATAGATTACAGTGCTTACTTCCTTGGAGACATGCCTGATAGTGGGGTTGGGGGTTTGTTCAGACAGAGACAAGCCTTAGCCAGCACTCATCTGCTTAGTTGATCTGCATATTTCCTAACACTACATTTGTCTCCTTACACTTCACATCACCCTTAAGATGTGACAAGATCTTGGTTGAGAATCACTGGTATACACAAATGTTCACTGGGAGCCATTTCAAAAAGGGATGGGGAGCTGCTAGTCCAGAGCATGCAGCGCCTGTCATGCTTGAACTGCTATCTTTCCCAGGCCTGTAGTGATATAAATGTTCTAAAAAGGCTTCAGCCTCAGCCCTTCTTCATTCAGGGTTAATTTTGGGGTGATTTAGCTCACCTGTATCTGTACAGGCCCATGCACACAGAGTAATTAGAGCATAACAGTTACTGTGCATTCCTGTGTACAGCTCACCTTTCCTTTTTGAAAAGGCTCCAGTGAGCATTTGTCCATGTCCAGTAGCAAGAAAGAAGAGACTCTTGTTGCCAAAGTGAGTGTAGTCCCTAGGTCTTGTTGAATACACTTTTATGCATCAGTAACTGCACCATGGGTGGTAGTGATGTGCTGCAGACGCAATGGCAAAAAGTTAACTGCTTCTGAGGGAGGTATCACTTTCTTTTTCTGCTAATGTCAGTGGCCAAAAAAATACTGCTTTTTTGGCAGTAAAGAAAAGGTGACATTTCCTTATGAAGCAGCAACCTACCGGTGGCTCCTGAACTGTGCACTGTTGCTGTTCTTCTGCCATCCCCACTGCTAGAGCCAGAGCCACTACAAGGAAGGTGCAGAGTGCAGGAGGATGGATGGGGGATGTTAGTGTAAGGTACCCCCTAGCACCATTCTGGCAACTCCCTTAGGCAGTGCCCGGGACTTATATACTCCACTTACCTACCCATCACTATGTTATTGTGTTTATGCCTTACAAGGCCTTCAGGGAGTGTGTGGCAGCTGTTTTCAAGAGCCATGCTTAACTTGCTAATGTTTGTTGAAATAAGCACAACTTCTGGTTGAAAATTTCTCATGGTTTATTGGTGCCTATCTGTGGGGAAAGTAAGCAGTAACTGGAAGCCAGTCATCATCAGAGCTTTCTTTTGCCCTTTGCAGTACCTTGTCCAGCAGGAGAATTCTCTCGCAGCGGTTTACTTCCTTGCCACCCCTGCCCCAGAGACTATTACCAGCCAGACCCAGGGAAGTCCTACTGCTTGTCTTGTCCCTTTTATGGAACAACTACCATCATAGGTGCCAGATCTATCACAGACTGTTCAAGTAAGTTGAGTCATTTTCTCCAAAGAATGTGACATAAAGGTGGCCAGATCTGACTTTTAATGTGTTTGGGAGTCATCCAGAGGAAGAATAAGCTACCTCTTTTGGCAACATTCACTTCACTCTTCTTCCAAAGTAATTTTCTCCTGACCTGCTGCACTCTTGCTTTTGATTCCTGCCCAGAGCAGGGGGGCTGGACCCAGTGATCTCATGAGGTCCCTTCGAACCCTAAACTTCTGTAAATCTCCAGTTAGTTCTTTGTTATCAGAAATGGGGGACTGTGTACTCTGCATTAGGCTCCCTAACACAGCCTAGATTCCAGTTTCTTTGAAATCAGTGAAAATTTTACTGTAGATCTGTGGAAACTAAAGTGATTAATTTCATGAGCTAAGCTGTAAATCGGGACTGTCTGGGAAACGCATCTTACAAAAGACTTTGCTACAGTGCCTGGTTCTCTCTCCTCATTTATTATTGATTCTGATGTTGCTTAATTGAATAAGTTGTTACTGTAAGTTTTGGGATTTATTCCCATAAAACCACTTTCCCTGTAGCATTTTTTAATGCATCACTACAATGCAGTGAGGATCCTGTAATATTGCATTAACAGTTGCTTTCCTTTATACCCTGTTCAGGTTTTGGCTCTACCTTCTCAGCAGCTGAGGAGAGTGTAATGGTACCTGTCCCTCCAGAAAATATCAGCAAACAGTATAAAGTCAGCAGTCAGGCAAGCACAACATTTTTTAATAATGTTGGCTTTAATTGAAGAAGCATATTATCTTCTACAAATATTAAATGGCTAATGCATTTCTGTAACATAATTGTGCTGCTGAGTGTATTTCCTGAAGCACGCTGAAATAATTATTGTGAGGGCCCCTTTTATTTGATTAAAGCAGTGTGAGGTATAACTCACTAGCTAGCAAAATTTGCAGGATATATGTTTCATTCCTGAGTAATGGCTTCCTTCACAAAAACTGTATTTGTATTTTCTAGTAACCTTTTGTACCAAATGGTAACTTAATAGTGCTTTTCTACAGCATTCTTTCCAATTCTGTTGCTATTACAGAATGATTTGGGCAGAAAGGGACTCGATGTAGCCAAAGGCAATCTTAGCCTTTCATAAAGAATGTCACTAAGCCATTACTTTAAGACAAGAGGACCCAGTTTCTTGCCCCACATTTGAAATATAGCTCTTATGATAGCGGTCAGCATGTTCGTCTTTTGATTTGATCTGTTTTGTAACACCATCTTTCACAATAGTCCGTTAGGTTCTAGGGTCCTAATTGTGAAGCATTTCTTTTTATTTATGTATTTCTATACATACAAATTTAAGAAGAGGTATAAGAAGAGACTTATAGAACACATTCTTCAACCCCTTTTGCTTGTGATTAGCCTCTCTGAAATGCATGGAACTATTTATGTGAGTAGAGACAACTCCCATGAGGATGTGTTTTGAGGAAAGAACCTCATTGCTGCAAGTGTAGCAGTCTTTTATGATTTGACTGTGAGATGCCATGTCCCACAAACAAGAATAATTAATGATAAGCTGGGCCTGAGCCATTAACCTAAAATATATGTAGAGAGACAACTAACACCTGATTCAACAAGCACACTGAATTTAATTGCATCACTGTTTTTCTTAAAGTTAAAAGCTCAACAGCTTTGCAGAATTAGAGCCTTTTATCATAGTATAATAATAATTAGAATGTCAACATCTAAAAATAATCTCTCCCAGCTATACAGTTGGTCCAATAAAAGATACCATCAAAAAAGTCCTTGATTCCAAAAGTCCTTCTCAGTTCATTAAACACCTGTGTCTTGTTTGCTGTGGTCAATAGAGGAGGCTAAAATGTATCTATGGGACACATGAAGTCCACAGAATCCACCCAGCTCATCTCTGCCATTCACTGCAATTGACTGACGCTAGGATAGTCTGTGTGGAAAGGGGGAAGATTGAAATAGAACTGGTAGAGAACTGTGATAGGAAGACCTTATTTACATGCCACCACATGACTATCATTGATATAAACAGCTATAGAGGAAGTACTGCAAACATCTATTGAATATTTGTTAAATAGAGCATTCAAAAAATACTGGATGTAGAACTTCAGCTGCATGAGCATATGACTTATTCTTCCCTTTTGGAGCAAAGAACAATTGCTGTTAACAAAGGAGTCAGCATGAAAAAATCTACTGCTGTAATAATGATATGGAAGATTGTAACTAATGATAATCTTGCAGTTCTGCCTGTCACTTAGGTTTTATGTTAACAAATTATCATGGAAAATTAACAGGCAACAGATGCATATGCTACATAGAGACAGTAAAATCTCGAGTAACAGACAAGTCAGTGAATGAAGACAAGTAAAATAAGAGATATGGAGAGATGAAATTGTATGTCAGTGTTCTAGATTGCTGCTTGAAACTTGTTAGATATAATTAAATAGCCTTCTATTTGGCAGTGGGATACATACTGGCCTATGTAGTGTGTATGTTTGTATGTCAGACTCATTCTTTGCCATATTGTTTTTCATGAGTTTTTTCTGTACTTTGACAGGTTTTTCATGAGTGTTTCCTGGAACCATGCCATAATAATGGAACTTGTAAACAGCTTGGAAGTGGTTACATCTGCATCTGTCCCCCCGGATATACAGGTAAATTATGCAGTGGATTGGGGGAAGGAAGAAGGTCAGTCACAACATGGGGCAGGTAGAATCTCCCGTTCTATTTAACTGGTATAGGTCAGTCTCAGTAGAAAAAGCACAGACTAATTAAACTAATGGAAATCTTCATCATGGATTGTTCATTATTATTTGCACTACATTTGTAACAAAGAATTGGATCTTTTCATTACAGTTGAATTATGTTTGCCTGTGTTCCTTTAGGTCAAAAATTAATTTTTTGAAAAACTTCTCTCTGATTGAAGTAAATAATAAAATTCCCATTAACTTCCATGGAAGCAATATTTAGACCAAGCGTGAGTGTATCTGGAATCCTACCTGATGAAAACAGCTGGGCTGAGAAGCTTATACTGCTGTCAGCTAATCGTATTAATCCGTCCTGTTCTGACCAGTGTGAGCCATCCAGTTGCTCCAGCACAGCTGGATATTTTGTCACTCCACTATCATCAAAATCCTTGTTTCAGCTATCTGTGATAACATATACAGTACTAAGGTAGTGGAGCTGATCATACTGCAGTATTGTGCTGCCTGATCTGTTCTCGATATTTCTGATAGCATTTTCTCACCTGTTCATTTGAAACATTATATTGGATAGAAAAGCATATGGGCTGAAATGTCTAGTTCTCCAGACTATTAATGAATCTGATGTATTTTTCAAATTAAATAATCACAACCGCTGTGTTTCAGTGATTTAATTCCATTTCTTTGCTCCTATGATTGAAATGTAATCATACTTTGTTTCCATTTTAGGCTTAAAATGTGAACTAGAGATTGATGAGTGCAAATCCTTTCCCTGCCTCAACAACGGAGTTTGCAAAGATGGCATTGCAGCCTTCATTTGCCAATGCCAGCCAGGCTACACAGGTGACTGGAGTAATTTAACTACTTCATAACACTTCTTTAAAAGGGCATCAGCTCTGTGTTGCACAAGTAAAACAGACCTATTAACTTGATGTTTATTTCTTCACTGACTGTAGAATTATAGCAGTGCTGAATTTGTCCCATTAGGCAGAGAAAATCTTGGGTGTATGTGAATAGTTTGTAAAACAGAAGGATTAATATTCAAGAAGCGTGAAATGTTTTAGTTGGTATGCCTGTAATATTTTCATTCTGAAAACAAAATGGAGCTGAAAGAAATATTAACTAGGTACTTGAGAGGAGACTGCCTAATACAAGGCTGCTGATAAGCAAGGTATGCTGGCAGGTACCTAACTTTCAGCCTAGGAGCAGGTGCTTAATATTTCTTTCACCTTTATTCTTTTTTCAGAAAAGTGTTGCTACTGAATTCCCACATACACAAACATTGAAATCAGAGAGGTCACTCGCATACTTCAGGGCTGGAACCTGTTTACACACCTTGTCAGGTTGTGGGTTTAATTAGCAATTTTTAAAGACAAAGTGAATGATCAAATAGAGAACGTGTTATCATCCAAGCCTTGTGAGCAGGTATAAAAAGACCTACCATATTTACTCAAATCCAAGATAGAGAAGGTTTTTTTCCCCAATGAACACAGGGGTAAAAAAGCCTTGTCTTAGATTTGAGTACTGGGCCAGGAAGGTACTGGTTAGCAGCTGATATACTGACTGCTCTGGGCTGGGGTGGCTTATGTGATGAGGAAAGGAGTGCACAGAGGGGAAAGCTTAAGGGAGATCCATGGTGAGGCGGGGGGTGCACAGGAGAGACCATGCAGCCTACCTGCCCCCAGCCGCGGGAGGTCTGGCTGTGGCTCCAGCCCTTACCTGGCCAGGCCTGGAGCTGCTGTCACTATTTCTGCTCAGCCAGCCTGAACCAAGATGGGGGCTGTCACTGGTGTCTCCCCTGGAGCCGGAGCTGGAGCCATACAAAGATAATTGGCAGGTGAAGGGGGGCAGGGGAGGAGGGAAACAGACACCGGGGTGGAGGGCAGTTAAAGGGGGGTGACAGGCAGGCTCTGGGGACAGGCAGCAAGAGAGAAGGCACAGGCATGTGAGGGACAAGACATGAGAAGGCAGGGGGCAGGCACTGTACATGGCAGGGAAGACAGGCAGCAGGGGGGCAGGCATAAGCACAGCAGGGGGGCAAAGGGCAGGGGTTTGGTCCCTTAGCCCCTGCCATTGCTTTCCCTGCCACAGCTTTGCGGGGGGACAAATTGAAGATGACCTTCCATTAATTAGATTTTACACATGGAAAATTATAACAAATTTATAATTTTCCTTGTATAGAATTTAAATATTGGGGAGGGGGTTGTCTTAAACTATAATTCATCTTGGATTTGGGTAAACACAGTAATACTTCCCACCAGAGCAGTCCCTTTCCCTCATCATATGATGCCTATAAGCTTTTTAAATCAAAATTAAGTAAAAATCCTTAATGTGTTTAAAATGATACTGGGGAAAACTGTGGACAGTCTCCCAGGGCTCAGCAGTGAGGGCTATGGAAAGTCTCTGCAGGTGTTCTCAAGGAGGCAGTTAGGTACATAGTTTTATCTCCTGATCTCAGTAGTTTATGACATGAGTGATATTTTGCCCCTGAGGTTTTGAAACTAGGCACCACAGAGTGCATCCCATTCATTTGTGAAAAGTCTATATACCATGTCTTTTAACCATTACTGTTTGAAGGGTCACTGTGTGAAGAAGATGTGAACGAATGCAGCTCCAACCCATGCCAGAACGGAGCACTTTGTGTTGATGACATCAGTGCTTATCGCTGCACATGTACAAAAGGATACACAGGTCAGCTCCGTTTCTTGATTGGTTCAGCCTTTGCTATAATGCTAGCTAAAGACCTTACACTCACTGAAATTGACAGTGCAAGTCAGGGATGCTTTCATATACTTAAACACTGGTTTGGACATTTGGACTGTCTATGAGACATTGAAGTTTTAGTTTCTCTTCCCATGTTTGCTGTTTAAATTACTGCATGACTTGGAGCAAAGGGGTAAAGAAATATGAGTGTTTCTCTAAGTGTTAAGTTGTATTGCTGTTACTTATCTCCTACAGTAGCTCTGTGGGCCAAATTGTTCCTTTGTTTGTTAAAATGAACCCCACTCCCATCCCATTCGTCTCTGCAAGTACTTTTTGCTTTCTGTCAAATAAAAGAATGTTTTTTCCAGATCTTCTCTATCTTAATTGGATAGGCCAGGTGGCCGCAAAGCTCAGATTTTACATTTTACAGTTGCTTCAGCCTTGTGTATCAACTTGGAACATGATGCACAACTCAACTTCTGGGTAGTCATGTAGGGCTCCCCTCTGCCCCCTATCCCAACTTTGTTCTAATGAAAGGGATCCAACTTAACTTCTATGGTAGGAAGGTTTCCCAACTCCTCCTTATTGCTCATCAGTTGTTCAAAGTCTCTCAGCTCCTGACTGATGTTATTTTAAGATGCATTTAGTGGCTCCATCCTGGGAATGCATAGCATAGATTCATGGGGTTTAGGACTGTGAACAGTCAGATTCTTACCTTGTAGTGTCATCTGTTATTTTGCCATTTGCAGCATGATACCAGTGATCTCATTGGATCGCAGTATTTTTTTAATATTATTGGAAGCGTCCACCTTAAATAGTTGATAGCACCTAGGTATGTTATATATCCTATATTTCCAAAATGTAATGAAGGTACGTGGAATTGCATCAACAGATACACCCAAACAATATAGTATAACCAGATGAGGGAAAAAGCATAGTAGTTTTCTATTTGTTGTTTGATGTTTTCCAAAGAATTCTTTGTCATTTTTATTGTCTTGGGATTTGTCAGAGGCACCAAAAACTGAAAACTGCAAAATAGCTCTTCCTAATAGAGTTTGTAACTTTGTTACTTAAAAATAAAGCTGTAGCCTTTCCTCTTTCTACACAGGTTCTCACTGTGAAACAGAAGTGAACGAATGCCTTTCAAACCCATGTCGTAACAAAGCTATTTGTGAAGATAGGATCGGGAGTTTTCATTGCAAGTGCCCTTCTGGGTTTACCGGTGCCTTGTGTGAAAAAAACATTGATGAGTGTCTCAGCAGACCGTGTAAGAATGGGGCTACATGCAAAGATGATATCAACAGCTTCAGGTGAAGAACCAGGAACTGATTTCCTGTAATGTGCAAAGCCAGATCTACTGCAGGCTTAACATGTTGGGCTGATACACCAAATATATCATCAGTGTGCATCCCAAAGTGTTCATTTTTGAAAAATGTGATGGGGTGAACTTTTGTTAAAAGTGTGTGAGAAGTAGCAAAGAGAATCCATGGAGGTTGAAGATGAAAGGGTAGTCGGAATTCCACCCATTAGAGTAGGTGGGAATTTCAGCATGCTCTTTTACTGAAAATAATTTGTTTTTCAGGTTCTTTTTACCAACGAGGGAGCTTGATGATTGACTTCCACAAGAGCATTGTACAATGAAGATTATTTTGTGTAGACCCTGTATTAAATTTTCTGGGGTTGCAGGGCAGCAGCAGATACAGGCATTGGTGGGGCCTTCCCATATTTTATTATGAAAAAAGATTATGGCCAGAGTCAAAATGAAGGAAGTAGATGGTCAGATGTGACATCAGAATTGCTTTTGTCTTTCCTTTTTGGTGAAAAAGAGCTTAATTATCTATACTGGCTCAGATCCTGTGAGCACAGTCTGAGCTCTCATTGACTTCAGTGAGAATTGTGTATGCTGATGTCAGACCTGGGCTGTAGTGGAAGACAGCTGTAAACAATGAGCTTATTGTTTAGAGGAGCCCAGCACCATCTCTAAAGAGAGAGCTGAGAGTATACAGCACTTTTCAGAATCAGGCCTGGTGTTATTACAATGAGAGAAGTAATATATATAACGATGACAAGCATTGAATAGGATGTCTCTGAACAAACAACACATCATATTATGGACAGTGTTTCTGTAATCAAAGCAGCCAAAATAGAAAAGTATTTTGGTTTCCTCCTCAGGTGTCTGTGTGTGACGGGGTACATGGGACAGCATTGTGAAGTGAACATCAATGAGTGTGAATCCAACCCCTGCTTAAACCAAGCAACCTGTGTGGATGCCTTGAACTCGTACGTTTGTAAATGTCCCCCTGGCTTTACAGGCAGCAGGTGTGAAACAGGTACACAGGACTAAAGTGTCAGCAAAAGGTGGCTTGACAGAGCCTCTGGATAAGAATTACACTGGCTCACTTGATACCATATGACTTTTACTGTGCAGCAGCTAGCCCAGTGTACTCAGCTTTTAGATTTACTTCACATGTCCCAGCTATTTAAGCCCAGTATTTGTCCATAGTGTTGTCCATAGTATTTAGTTATATAACTCATATTTAAGCACCTAATTCCTTTCGAGGATCTCCCATCCAGGTACTAGCCTTAGCTCTTTATATTTCATATATTGCTTGTAGTGCTCTGTATCAGAAACTGAGATGATGTTGTAGCAAAGAACATAGTTTCTACCATCAAAGATAATAGTCTAGGTTTAAAGCTGTAGTAACTTCTTTGATGTCATTGGAGTTAGACCTGAGATCAGTTTTGTCTTTTACACAAGCCCTTAAAATGATGATATTTTATGTGTATGTTGTGGATCCTAAGATGAAAGTAAAAGGGCCTCTGGCAACTTTACAAAAGAGGAGGAGATGTACTAGTCATTTATCCTTCATCTCCTCTATCCCACCAAAAACTTTGTGTGTACTACGGCTGTATGAGTGAATAATAGTTACTGTTTTTGCTCATAATATCACCTTAACTTTGTAAAGCACTTTTCAGTACTTTGAATAGAGCTATTCCATAGCAATGCCATGTACTTTAGGGAACTAAAAATAACAGAACAAACCACCACCAAACCTCTCTCACAAACCCCAGGAGGTCCCAAGGTCAAAAAACCCACACCTAAAAAAGCAGGGTGGTGTGTATGGCAGCAGGACGTGCTACCCAAAACTGGAGCTTAGAGGGTCGGAGTCACACTCCAGCTGCCATCCAGGCTCCCTGCTGCAGGAGCCCCATGGCTGCAGCTCTGAGGCCCCCAGGTAAAGCTGCTGGGGCCAGCAGAGTTGGCCCTACCCTACCCAGAATAACATGCTGCATGTTGGAGCGTTCAGGGCATGGGTATTCCCCAGGGATAAGTAGTAGCAGCACAAGGTGTGCTGCTGCTACTTGTCCCCAGTGAAACAAGCATTTCTGCTCGTGGGGATGTGCCTTAGAACCTCTGGATATAAGATCATAGAATCATAGAAAATTAGGGTTGGAAGGGACCTCAGGAGGTCTTCAAGTCCAACCCCCTGCTCAAAGCAGGACCATCCCCAACTAGATCATCCCAACCAAGGCTTTGTCTAGCTGGGTCTTAATAACCTTCAAGGATGGAGGTTCCACCACTTCTCTGAGTAACCTGTTCCAGTTTAACCTGTTCCTCTCAGTGAGAAAATTTTCCCTAATACCTAACATAAACTTCCCTTGCTGCAACTTGAGACTGTTGCTCCTTGTTCTGTCATCTGTCACCACTGAGAATAATCTAGCTCCATCCTCTTTTGAACTCCCCTTCAGGTAGTTGAGGGCTGCTATTAAATCCCCTTCCGTCTTCTCTTATGTAGACTAAATAAGCCCAGCTCCCTCACTCTTTCCTCAGAAGTCATCTCCCCCAGCCCCCTCACCATTTTTGTCACCCACTGCTAGCCTGTCTCCAATTTGTCCACATCCTTTCTGTAGTGGAGGACCCAAAACAGAACACAGTACTCTGGATATGGCCTCACCAGTACTGAATAGAGGGGAATAATAGAGGATCGGCAGACTGGCACCGTAGTCCTTTGGCAGAGGGCTGAAAGCCATGCAAAAGATTATGGAAGATTCATTATCTACAAAAAACCTACATATTTTTTTAACTGTGCTTCTTTGAATGTTTTGTAGCTGTTGAGGGCTCAAGGTGTCTACTAGTGTATTTTTAAGAAGAGGAAAACACAGTGGCCTCAGAATAGAATATATTACTTCTAGTTCAGTGAAGTGGAAAGCAAATATTTTGCAGACTGGTTGTGGTTCAGTTTTATTGCATTTGATAAGGTTTAGTTTAATTTGTTTCTGTGTTTGTAAGACTGCAGATCTGAAAATGCTACTTGTTTGTTGCAGAACAGTCCTCTGGTTTTAATCTGGATTTTGAAGTTTCTGGTATCTATGGGTATGTCATACTTGACAATACTTTCCCATCACTTGGTAATATCACCTGTGCCTTCTGGATGAGATCCACTGACACTACTAATTATGGGACTCCAATTTCTTATGCGGTAGATAATGGAAGTGACAACGCATTTCTGTTAACAGATTACAATGGGTAAATAAACCTGTAGTAGTACTGTCACCTTTCAAGATTATAAATGTTTATAATTCTTTATAGAGAGGATCCTCAAACAGTGCCTTCCCCTGGGTAAGTTCACAAATGAATCTAAGTGAAAATTTTGTAGCTGGTCCTTCTGAATGATATGTCTCCCTGATCTGAATTGCAAAACTACTTTTTGCCAGTTGTTTGCTAATAAAAGAGAACGAAGAAAGAAGAAAAAGGTAATATGCAGAAGGTAAAATATTTCTCCCTGGGCTATTTTTGCAGAGGATAAAAGATATATTTAAAGTAATATTTACCAAAAAAAAGCAGCTTACTATTGAGCCTATTTATTGCTGTGACCAGAGCTATAACAAGGGAGCTCTGCATCCTGTACAGTGGGAGCATGCAGGGCAGCAGTGGCTGCCAGTAATGGGCATGTAGCCACCCAACAGCTTCAGTGGCTGGTATTTTTGCAGCTCTTCCCCACGCCCCCCAAGTATGTGCTGGGGCTACTGTCCTGATTGTCTTCTCCACCCCCTCTCCCCACCCCGTTTTAGTTCCAGTACTGGCTGTGACCCCCTGAATGACCAATGGGCTTTGAGATGCTGTGTACAACTTAACTTTAAGGATCCTCTCTAAAAAGTATGATGCAAATCGCCCTTTCTGGTATTATATGCAGTAGTAAACATGTGTCACATGCCCCTTCTGTCTTTTCATCGTGCAGGTGGGTTCTTTATGTGAATGGGAAGGAAAAGATCACAGATTGCCCTTCTATGAATGATGGCAAGTGGCATCACATTGCAATCACCTGGACTTGCACAGATGGAGCCTGGAAAGTGTATATTGATGGGAAGTTATCTGATGGAGGCAGTGGTCTCTCAGTTGGTTCAAAAATCCCTGGTATGTTTTCTTTACATTTCTTGATTCCATTACCTCATTCTTAATATTACCAAGTTTGTGGTGTTTCAAAGCTGACATTTGTTTATCCCACATTGGATTCAGGTATAGCATCCTTCTTCAGAGGGACTAGTCTTCATTCTACATGTAGTTTTACTGTAACCAAAGTGCATATTTGCAGAGGAATACCTCATACAGCCTGAATAGGGGTGCCAGAATCTTGCCTATAGATATTTTTAAGAAACATGCTGAACTGACCCTGGGATATTTTAATGAGAACAAATTTCATAATTGGATGCCAGTGTTAAACTCAATCATGAGTTTGGTTTAAAAACATAATTAGCAATAAACATATTATATTTCCCCATCATTTGTATGACTGTCCTTAGAATTTAATTGCAACAGTATCTTGTCCTGACAGTTTTGGAAACTTATGTGTGATAGCCTAAATATGAATGGCAGAACTCTTATGTCCACTTCTTTCATTATTTCCTATGCTAGGGAAAGAAATTATTATTTTGCCAGTTCATTTAGGACCTTGAGGAATTTCTAAAGATTTAATGGGGAGGGTGATAAACCCCTCAACCACCTGTTTATTTAAACTAAAGATGCTAACAGTCCATGAAGCATACAATGATTGCAGAGTGCACTATTCAAAACAGCTGCAGTTGAAAACTGTCACAAGGGGACATGCAACACATTATCTGAGAGAGTAGCCACAGAGTAGCAAAAAATCCATTTTGGATCACTTTCCAGAGAAGAGAATTGATAATTTAAAATGCTTTAACTTCATGAACTGCAGGAATTGTGCAGTGTTTTAGAATTTAAGAAAACTCGTCTTAAAGGTAGGGCCACATGTGTAATCATAGCCCTTGTATGCAGTTTTGTTCTGTCCTTTTATTTCCAAATGCATTGTGGTTATTCTAAAGAATGAGCACACACTCATACCATCATGCACATGGTCATAGATACCAAATGCTCCCATTTGCTGTGCTCCAGTTAAATGAGGTAAAAGTAAATTAACTTGCATGGTACATTACTCACTTTGTGTGATATTTTTAAAGGCTTTTAACAGTTTTAATACATTGATAAGGAAAATTATAAAATACCTAGATACCATGAACTATGTTAAGCCAGTTAATAATTCCTAATTACATTATTAGGTGTACTTGTACATGCTTTGTGATAAATCCTAGATTAATTTTCAAAAGGAAATGCACTTCTGAAACATCTGTTTAAAGTATCCCCAGTTAACAACACGGTTTAGTTAATAAAGATTGATTTGCAACTTGATTATCAGCTGCTGTGGTGTCCCTGTGTACAAGACAGCTTTATCCTGAAAATACTTTTCATCTTTAAACAACAGCAACTTCTTCTCAGGACCATTTTTATTCCTTCTTAGGTGGTGGTGCACTTGTGCTTGGCCAGGATCAAGACCAGAGAGGAGAAGGATTTAATCCAGCTGAGTCTTTTGTGGGCTCTATTAGCCAGCTCAACATCTGGGACCATGTCCTCTCCCCAGAGCAGGTGAATGCTTGTTTAGAATTTTGGCCGGCTCAGAGCAAAGGAACAAATCAACGTTAATGCTTTGGTATCTTACAGTATCACATTCAACTCCTGCAGAAGTTGATGGGAATCAGATCAGTCCCTCTGTTGGGGGACTTACTAAAAGTTACAGGAAATGAAGAAAAGGAAAGAAAGCTTTAATTTTGCCATTTGACTACACCTCTGCTGTTATACCCTTCTGGCATTCAGAATAACCCAGATTTGCTGCCCCAGTTTGTGTTCTGCTGAGTGTTATAGTCCAGACGTACAGGGGCATGCGAGTGCAGTGGCAAAAATAGTAGCAGCACAAATTTGTGCTGCTACTTTTTGCTGCACCACATGCACCTGTCCATGTGCTTTATGGAGGGACAGATTGTCCCACTTTGGGCAAACTATCCATGCCTGGCTCCCAGCATGCTGGAGGAGCCAGGGCACAACTGGAAGTGAAGACACTTCTTAATCTCCCTGGAGGATTATGCCTCCGTGTTTTCGGGCACATGTTCCCATCACATGCGCTGCACTGTATTTTTTCCCTGTGCTTTGTTTTACTACCAGGATTTCCTAGTAGCAAATTTTGGCTGCGTGGTGCAAATTTGCAGCATGGGGCACATTTAAACACTCCCTGTGTGCAGTTTGTAGCACCACAAAGAGGTTTGTGGTGCCACAAACATCATGCCCTTGCTTATATGGATACAGCCATAGAGTTGAGCAGAAACAGAGAGGGGTCAGTGAAGAGTGCTTTTGAAAAATCTGACCTTTCACTGGGGTATGCACAGAAATCCAAGGTCTTAATGATAAAAGACAGATGTAAGATGAAGACAGGGAAATTTGTCGAGTAAACTTCCCATAAACTTTTTACCTCTTTGTTATTAGAGCTTCAAATAGTAAATCATCTTCCCTGTCTCTGTTTATATCACAGTTATTTTTTATGCTAGAGTTTAAGGCATAAAATCATAGAAAAGTAGGGTTGAAAGGGACCTCTGGAGGTCATCTAGTCCAACTCCCTGCCTGAGGCAGGATTATCCCTATTCAAACCAGCCTACACAAATCCTTTTCTAGCCTGCTACTAAAACTACACAATGAACCCTTTTGCACTACATAACCTGCCACAGGTAAAGCAGAGGGACAAACATAGACTGTGTCCTGCTGCTGTGAGGGGAGAGGGCCACACTCCCCACTACAGAGGAAGGCAAAAAAACCCCACCGTCTGTACTAGTCTGACTGTAGGGTAAAATTTCATTTATGTTTTTATGTATCCTTATTCATCAGAAACAGGACGAGGCCAGGCACCCATTTCATGCAAGCCACTGGGCCTGCATGCCTATTCGTCTAACCACTTCAGACTTACAGCTATCCCTTGTGAGTGGTTGGGTTGCCATATATATGTTAAGGCACACCTACCCAGTGGTTTCTTCTTTCTATTCTTCACAATTCTTATCTGTTCTTTAGAATGGCAATCAGAACCGTTCCTCCACCACACTTCCGCTCAAACACGGAATGGGAAGCAGACACAGTAGTTCAATTATTAACATATTCTGTTCATTAAATAAGCATCTTCTTGCAGGCAGACACTTACCTCTTTAATATATTGAAAGGCAGGAAGCTTCTTATTATCATTTTACTACATATTTGTCTTCTTTAGGTCATGCATCATTTTAAACAGCTGCTTGGCTAAGAGTAATGTTTCTGCTGGAGGCCATCCAGGGAGCGCTATGATATTCTGCATGGTGCCTTTACAGCGAAGTTATGGTGTTACACTAAATAATAACACCTTTTATACTGTGCACTGCCACTGAAAGAGCCCATTTCCTTCCTTAACTTGTGAATTGCAGTGGAAAGAGTGAATGCAATGCAAACTAATTCAAGGAGCCACTTCTATTACCAAGTTCCTCAATCAGTTCAAGATGTACTTATTCAAAATCCTCCTGCACATATAACAAAAGCTAGCCTCTTCCCCAAGATGATGCAGTCAGCACATTGGCACATTAAGAGTTTACTACATGATAAAAAGGAACAGAGTGAGTACTTCGCTCCATTTTCCCTCTTAGTTTTATCAAAACTAGGAGGTTTGACATTATGGTAGTGAAGCAAAAAAGTTTTAATACTTCAGTAAAACTCTTTTCTATTGAAGTTGTCCTATTCCTCTTATAGGTTGGCCAAAATGCATTTTTAATGGAAAACTGTTCTGTCATAATATTTGCAAACACCTCTGTTCTTTGTTCTAGGAACAGAGGCATTCCTTTTACTAAATGGCCTTCTTGCCATTTTCCCTGGCATTTCAGTTTTCTATCCAGTTCTTGGTTAGATGGAATCTAGTTCTCCTATTAACAATAGTGTTAGGACTCCCATTTATTTTAGAATATGTCTGTCTAACCAATGGTGTCACACAATAGTGTTGCTTTAGTTAGGAATTTCAGAAAACTCATGTCATGTTTCTTGTCCTTAAACTAGATGTGAAGAAATACAAGCATGTCAGGTCTGTAGCTCTTCTAAATTCAGCTCCTGCTTCCTCTTATTGTTAGATTTTTCTTCTTCAGATACTTGAGATCATCTATTCTGATTTTTTTCCCTTATCTGCCTGTTAGTGAGGAAAATATGCTGTTCTTCCAAATAGACAGCTGCAATTAAAAGGAACAGGTATTATTTTTAAATGTTAGGACAGTACACAGGTCCACCCAGCAGCACATGACTTCACTATTCTGCCTTTGCATTGATGATGGTAGAAAATGCAGACATGTAAATGAAACAGAATACCCATGAGCCTACTAAAATCAATGAAAAGATTCTCTTCAGCTTAACAAGCTTAGGATCAAAACTCTAGGTTCAGGACTGCCATGCAGATACGAGAGGAAATTTTTGCTTTAATTCTTTTCCTGCCAAGCTTGCTGAGTAGTTGGCCAGCTATATCTAACCACTTGTTTTGAACCCTTAGGTAAAATCCCTGGCTACTTCCTGTCCAGAGGAACTCCAAAAAGGAAATGTATTTGCTTGGCCTGACTTCCTGCCTGGGGTTGTTGGAAGAGTGAAGATAGATTACAACAGTATATTTTGTGCTGGTTAGAACTTTATCTCTTAGAACTGTTTTTGTTCAATGTAATATCGCAATGATTCTGTTTATAAGGTTAAATGTGTTATATTGTGACCCCTGCCCTGCTGGCCTGGAATGATTTATTTTGATAATTTAATGGCTGGAACATCCAGTCTTCATTCCTAAAATTCCAGTTTTTTGTAACAAAAGGTCATTAGAATCACATACAGAGATTTATGGCTTCCTGTATTGGGATGTTGAAAGAGTGAAAATTGATATTGAGTCAGATAGAAGATTGTTCTGGTCATTCATGCTAACAGCAATTGGAATCTGTTCTAGTATCTGATTTCTCTTCCTTTTGCTCAGAAGTGTATTCAGTTCTAAAGTGTTGAGGTACTGTGAAGCCCTCTGAATCTGAGTACAAGATAGCATATTAAGTATACCACTCTTCAGGGTTATCATCACTACATAAGCTCACACAGTATCCAGTGTTCAAAGAGTAAAAAGTTCTGATTCAAGGCAACATCAGTAGCTCTGCATGCGTGCATCTTTTTCCTCAGATTGCCCATCCTTAGAAGGATCCATACCTCATCTGCGGACCTTATCGACTGATTTAAAGCCAGGGTCAAAAGTGAGCCTTTTCTGTGACCCAGGCTTCCAGATAGTAGGGAACTCTGTCCAGCACTGTCTAAATTTGGGACAATGGACTCGACCTCTTCCACGCTGTGAAAGTAAGTAGTTCATCCTAGCATACCATAGGCATAGCAGGTTAAAGCATCGGTCACAAACCAGGCTTCAAAAATTTTGGGTTTTGTGTGGGTTTTAGCAGCCCTCATTCAGCAAAGCAGTTAAGCACAAACTTAAGCCCATTCTTATTCAAATATGTACATACCGTGTTAAAGATAAACTTGTGCTTAAATATTTTACTCTATCAGGTTCATAATGACATACAGCCACATTCTGCTGCCCTTTGTTCCTAAAAATGATGATTGATAATGTAGGCAGATGTAACAGTTGTGTATCTATGTCAAATTGCTCTGTAGCAATACAAGGGTAGCACAACCATTGCATCACTAACCCTGTTTTGTTTAAGTTCAAAGTTGAAGTGATTTAAGTAACTTGCTACAGGGGCTTGCAGACATAGCACTTAACAGCTTATACTCCGAAGCAGCAGCTCCCCTTTTCCTTTTAAAGATTGAAAGGTAGGTTTGTTGATAGCCAAGTCTGACAGAAATTAGTATGTCATGATCAGAGCCATCATATTCTGAACACCTTCACTCGGTGGAGGCTTCTGAGCATAAGCTCTTCTGAGGAAAAGCTACAGCATCTGCATTATGTTTAACTATCACTTTTAAATCTGAGTCATGACATTGAAATGGTTATATGTGAATAAAAGTAATGCCACAGAAGGTACCTAAATGATCTTCTATTAAAAGATCAGACCTGTTAAAACATAATATGTCCTGTCTGTCTCTTCTGGTTCCCATTTTCCCAACTCCAGGCTCCTTTTTGCCTTTGTTATTTCACATTTCTATAATTGCAACTATTCACAGGCTAAGAGTTAGACACATTACACAAGCGTCTTTGTGAACTGGGAAAAATTCACTGAAAAATGCAGTTTAGCTATTCTCTTAACTATTACAGATAATTTCATTTGGAAGATAACTGTTCTGAAAGAGCTAGATCAGGTATTTCTCTATGGCATTGAGCCATATAGATAAGGGTCTGTTGAACTCAGGGAGGTGGCTGGCCAATTTCTTGGGCAGATCCTGGGGCTGGCAGCCATTTTCACAGGCTGAGCATGGTGGGGTCCCCCCATGCCTGTGATTGGCCAAGTGGCCACAACAATCCCACTCCTCCCTACAGATTCCTAGATGGCCTGAAACTGCAGCTCAGTTACCCTGATTAAGTCTGGGGAAGCCATTAATCCACACTTTATTAAGCATGGATTAATGACTTCCTTGGGCTTAATCGGGGTAATTAAGCTTCAGTTTCAGGCCATCCCCAAGCAGGCAGGCTGCACAAGCAGCTGCAGCAGGGTCCCAAGCCGGCTGTGGTAAGCAGCTGGGAAGCTGCACATGGGTCCGCAGAGCCCCAGCTTGTCTTATTGCCGGTGGCAGGAGCAAACTATTCATTTACCAACTTGCTTTGAGTAGTAACCCATTATATCACAGTTAAAACACACTTGCCATGGCTGTACGGAAACACTTGTTTTGAAGCTATTAATGTTGTAGTTCTGTTGAGAAACGGAAGTTTTCAATCTTGATGGCTGGTAAATGTGTGATTTTTTTGAGCATTTTATTTACACTGACATTTTCAGATGAGGAGAAAGTGAGTCAGTCCCAACAGGCTTTTGCACCCTAGTCTTTAGTGTGCATTTTTTATTCCCAGGCCATAATTAGAAACTTGCTGCTTGCTGATAGTGCAATCTCCAACACACACGTGTGCACACAAGAGCCCAGATAGTCTTACTTTAATTTATTTTCCAGTTTCTCTTTTGTCCTTTCCTGAGTGGGGCAGTAAAAGCTAAAGCTCACAAATCAAGGGCACAGAAAGAAGTGACAATTTTCATCCAATCTGGCCACAGAAAGTGGGCTATAGCTGTGACCAAACACAAGTTCATGGCTGCAGACCACTTCAAAAATGGCCAACTGTGTGAAAATGTGACCCCTCGTTGCATGAGGGTTCAGATGAAGATGTTTCAAAACAAACTGTCTTCTGTAATTTGTGTCTGCGCTGCCTGCCAGCTTACGAGCCCTTTTCAGAATGGAAGTGGGGAAAGGAGCTCATTCTAGGTGTTCCCCAGCCAGCACCAGAGGGTGAGGCAGTTGAATTCAGTTTATCTGCCCCACCTTCCAACGGGGGCTGAAAAAACCCTAGGTTTAACTCCCTCTGTTTCCTTTCCCTCCTCCCATTCTGAAAACTGTGTGGCCTGGCAAGGAGGAGGGGCCATTACTAGGGGAAACTGTCTGCAGACTCCCAGCCAGCAGCTAGATTCCCCTCCCCCTGGGATCATTGTAACTCAGAACACTTCCTGCAAAGCGTTCTGAGTTACAGCAGAGAGCTGCACTTCTGTCTGCACCCCAAGTTTGCCCCGGTGTAGCTCCTTTGATTTCAGGCATTGAAATTTCTTCTGAAGTTGAATCTTGTGCTAGTTGCTGTGGCACTAAGAGGTTTTTCATGGAATGTCTGATGGGCCAGCATATTCATGCTCTCCTTCCTCACCCATCTTTCAGGGATCAGCTGTGGAGTGCCTCCACCTTTAGAACATGGATTTTATTCCTCTGAGGACTTCTTTGCTGGCAGCACGGTTACCTACCAGTGCAATAATGGGTATTATTTACTAGGAGATTCCAGGATGTTCTGCACTGACAGTGGAAGTTGGAATGGCATTTCGCCGTCTTGTCTTGGTGAGATATGTCATCTAGGTGGTTGTATTGTTCATGGCTGTGGGCTAAATCCTGCTGCTCTTCCTCTCTCAGAACTCCCACTGACTTTATGGGAGTTTGGAATAACTTGCAAGATATGGCCCCACTTGAGGGCAACTGAATTGTTTGTTTTATTGAAGTTTTCATAGTGCTTTTCTCACACTCTGGTCTTGTTGTTATAAAAAATGAAGTAGGTATTAAGAACAAAGCTGAAAACCTTTCATTCCAGCAAAAGTTCCCTTTATAGTAGGACTTCTGCGACACAACACAGCTTCCTTCATAGCCTCAAAACTGAATTCACCCTATATCAGATTCTCCCCTCACTACCACTTCCCTCACAGAGAAAGCTTGGGGTAACAGGTACATTTCTGGCAAGTTCTCAAGAATATGGGCTGTCTCACAGCCCCTCAAGGACTCAAGGTCTAAGTCAGGGATGGGCAAAATGTGGCCTGCGGGCCAGATCTTGACCCACCAGGTGACTGGACTGGCCTGCAGCTGTCCCTGCAGTGCTCTGCATGGGGCCAGCCCACCCACTTGCATCAGGGCAGCCAGCACTGGGCTCCCACTGGTGCCCACAGCCTGGCCCCGACCAGCATGCACAGCTTCTTGCAGGCTGTTACCAGTGTGGCTGCAGCTGGATGCTGCTTTTTGCCTCCCACCTCCAGCACTGGTTCCAGCTCCTGAACTTGCCCATGTTGCACCGCACTGCTCCGGATGAGTAGCTTCAGCCAGGCAACTCCTGCCCCATCACATGGGGCTTCGGCTTCAGCTCCTGGCCGCCTTCCCAGGAGCTGGAGCCAGAGCCCTGCGCACTGGGGCAGGAGCCACCCAGCTGAAGCTGCCTGCCTGCCTGACACGGCGTAGTGCAGCAGGGGCAACATCAGGAACAGGAGCTGCCCCTGGAAGCAGGGGGAGCATAGCAGCACCTGGCCAGGTGGTGGGCACCAGTGGGAGTGTGATGTGGGCTGCCCCTGCAGGAGAAGGTGGGGCTCAGCCCCATGCGGAGTGCTGTGGGAACAGCATGAACCACACTGCCCAGGGGAGCTCTCCTCCATATGTTCCCTGTCCCCACCATTTACCCATGGCAGGCTCCTGGGACCTAGTGCTTGAGCAGCTCCCCCTCCTCACTCACACACACGTGCACACACTGCCCCCCC